AAAAAAAAAAGTATCATTTTAGGATAAAAACAAGTTTAATATCATCAATTTCTTAGGTATAAAAATTTTAACCTTGAAATAATTTCTAAAAAAAAAATTGAAGATCCCATTTGTCTATATATATAATATATATATGTTTTCAATCTGTTCTTGCTATATGAATTATAAATATAATCTGTTTGACTGTCTGATGCGTAGCATCATCGGTAACAATAAACTGCTTAGAGTTGTGATCAATACTGAATCACTATGGAGTCAAAGGTCCTCAATGGCGAGGTGACCGTGGGGTATGTTATTGTTGTTGACGATTGGACAGTGTGATTGGTATGTTTGCTCTGCTCGTATGTTTATGGACTAATTGTATGAAGCTACGAGTCACAAATATGCGACCATTGAAGTCAAAGCAAGAATATCTAGAGAGTTCGTGGGCGGTGCGTAGCCCGGCCGTCCATTTATTTTTTGGTCATGCCATTCTCTTTCGAGAATGGCGCTTTTGAACTCTTTATGAGGTTATGAGTCTTGATACATCCTTTTAAAATCAAATAATTATGCTTACTTGATATAGTGATGATCAAAATTGATGAAGAGCAAATTAACAATTAGTATGATCATATTTTTTTAAGTATATAATTTCTAAACTGGTGATTCTTATTTTGAAATAAATAAAAATCAACAAAATTCGATCAGTAAATAAATTTGATTAAGTTTGGTAAACAAATTGAAACAAATAAATAAATGAATTAAGTAAAAATGAAGAAATTAGACAAATAGGTAAATAAATAAAATGAATCAACAAAATAAATGAATTAATTCAGTTTGATTTTCCTTTTCTTTCCTTTTTTTTTTTGTTTTTGCTTTAACTAATAGAAATTAATCATTGTGTTATTTTTGCCTGAAAATATAATTAACTTACCGTTTGCCCCATAAAATTTCATTTGGTAAATATGATGTTCGTGCTTGCGTTGTTGAACCAACTGATTCGACAACACCTTCGAGAATAGCAATAATTTCAAATCGAGCTGTACGCAAGCTTTCTTTGCTTACCTCATACAGCGGACTATTTTCATCAATTTCATGGCAAACTGTTATTGGCCAAATGACAAATACACGATCCAAGCCCGTATCGTAACCAACATCCATATCAAATTGATGAAAAGGTAACAACTCTCCCTCATAAGTTATACATTTCTTGATCATCTAAAAAGATTATTCTGCTTAAAATGTTGAATTTATCAAAATGTCTAATTATATGATCTAATCAATACACACAATATTTCCATTCATTTTTGAATTTTGCAACAAATTTCTCTAACATTTGCAAAGATTTATAAGTAAAAATTTAGTTAATCTAATTCACTTATTATTTTAATGTAACCATTATGTGCATAAAATGTATTATAAATTAAAAAAAACAAAAAAAAAGAAAAAAAATGTCTGAGAGAAATTCTAATAAAAAATACGTAGAAAAGCAACAATTTTGGATACCTCTAAAATATCCTTTTCCAAAAAAAAAAACAAAACAAAAGAACATTATTTAAAACTATTTCAATTAAATTTCTAATTTTTTCCTCTTACAATTATATGAAATTTCGCTGCTAAATTTTCAATGAAACTAACCTGTAAACGAACATGAGCTTCAGCTAATGAGCTTTTCCTCATGTCACCAACCCGAAAAAGTAGGCACAATTTACCATCTCTCATGCAGATTACCGCATTTTTGCTGAAACAAACAATCTTCAAATTGTATTACATTTATTATTAGCAAATGTCAATTTTTGATAGTATTATCAATTTGATAATCATATGATAAACTTGATTAGTTCTATGCTAATTGATAAAATCAATTGTTAATATAAAAGAAAAAGTTAGCAATCCCAAAAGTATCAAATAAATATCAATGATAAAAAGAAAACAATCCCGAAATATTCGATTAATTACAAATACAAGTGATAACTTGAATCATTTGGAATGATAGTTATGAAAGATTGTTTTATTCCTCCTCATTAAAATAGTAAAGATTATAAATTTGCAAAATTAATTAAATGACTTTGCAAATGAAGATTTTATATGAATAAAAGAGCAATACCTTCTGCAATCAAATATCATCTTTTCCTTTCTTCCTTCTCATCTCTCCTTCCATTTTTCAAAAAAAAAAAAGAAAGTGAATGAAATTAAAAGAATAGAAAGAGAGAGGGAGAGAGAGAGAGAGAGAGAGAGAGAAGAAAGATCAAGGGAAGGGGAAGAAATTAAAAAGCACAAAGAAATAAAAATTCAAAATAGTAACATAAAGAAATAAAAATTCAAAATAATTTTTGATCAAAATGACAAAACAAACAAATGGAACAAAACAATTGTTGTGTTCCATTATAAGAAAGCATTCCATGGACTAGTATCAAATTTTTGTCTTACTCATTAACTTTATTGCCAAGAAACAATAAGAAATTGGTTTAAAAATTTTTATTGAAATTTAAAATCAATAAAATGCTTGACACATTTGATGTAATTAATGATTGATATATGCTTATGCAATCTTTTATCGATAATATTACAATTTTTTTTTTTTATTTTTTCTTGAAACTTTCTATTCTTTTCTTAAAATAACTTTTATTTGGTCAAACAATAAAAATAAATTTTTTTTTCTTTGATATTTTATATTTTTTAACGTTTTAAAAAATTTGATCAATTAGATAAATTGTGTTGGAAATATAACCTGAATATAATAGTTGCAGCTCGTTTGATAGGCCTTGCTAATTTAGCAAATATTACACCAGTCATCAATGTATGGCACATAACACCAACCATAAATTGAAGGCACATTGTTATAATAATTAATGGGCACTCACTTGTTGGATATCTTAAAAATGTTGAAAAAATTTGAATTAGTTAGAGATTAAAAATATTTTTTAATTTTATCATAAGAAATTATATTTAAGTGAAAAAAAAAACAAAAACAAGAAGCTAATTTAATTACTAAATTTGAAATGAAAAATTTTTCTTTCCTAATCAATAATCCATCCATGTATTTAACAATATTCTCTTTTTTTTTTTGATTTTATAAAAATTTTATATTTATTGAGAATGAAATTAATTTGTAGAAATGATGAAAAAGTTTGTAACCTAAAACCATAACCAATCGTTGTTTGAGTTGTGAATGAAAATAAAAAAATATTTGTTTTACTATTAGCATTCATAACACACGGTATCCAATTTGGATCATTTTTATGTTCGAAATCACCGTGCATTGTAATAAAAAAATAGTAAACAGAAAAAAAAAATGTCCATGAGGCGATAAATGATGTTGCAAAAAATAATAATGTCCAACGCCATCTGATTTCGATTACTGTCGTAAAGATATCACTAAAATTTAATTCTATTTCAATTTACAAAAAATGAATTGAAGAAATTGAGAATTAAATGATTTTCAATTAATTTTTTTTTCTGTTTTGTTTTTACAATTTTTTTGAATAATTTTTGTTATAAATTGAAAGAATCACTTTCTCTCTCTCTCTCTCAAAAATATATATAATCATAGGTTTTTGCTTTCCTTTATTGTTGTATATGATTGAATCATTTCGATTTGGTTTCATTTTTTTGTTATTCTTCTTCTCTCTCGCCTTTTTTTTTTTTGTTAAAAGTAAAACTATCTTCTTCATTATCTTTATTAACCATAATAGTCTCTTAAGCCTTGTTATATCAACTAATCCAAATCTCACTCAATGTTAGTGAATTTTCAGATAATAAAATCCTTGAATTTCATGCGCTACGAAGCAATTTTTTTTTTTCAAGAATATATTTTATTATAATGGCATGTTTAATGTAAAGCTAAAATGAGAATGATTTGGAAAAGCAAATAGGCTTATTTTTATGATTAACCATTGGAATATTTTTTTTTTTTAAAAAAAAAATCTTTTTGTTTATCATACATTCAGAGAAGACAGAAGAAAGGATGGTGGAAAAGAAAAAAAAAAGTAATAAGAAAACCTGAAATATTTCCGCCGTTGTTTGGGTACATTAACAAGTGATATATTGCATATGCCACCTTTTTGTACTAATCTATTACGTATTCGACGTGAACCAATTCGTGGTGCTTTGAAGAAACGTGATGAACGTTCACGGTTATCTGAGGTCATTAAAGTATCCTCGCATTCCATTACATTGGTGAATGCTAAAAATAATATGTTTCATTTTACATATATTTTATTTACGGGAAATTTTCACAATTTAAATACTTTTTATGATTTTCAAATAATTAACTATTAATTATTATCACTATCCCTATCATGTTAATTTTGCTGCAAATTCAATACTTAACATCATTTCCCGCAGTTTTTAACAACAATCAATTTTTTAAATCAAAACTTAAAACTATGGAAAAATTATTGCAATTACTTTATTTTTCAAAATTTTGCGAATGAAATAAAATCTGGATATTATTTAAGAGAAAAAAAAGCTATCATTAAGTAACAAAGTATAAGAATAAAGAGATTGCACAAAGTTCAGCTAAAAACTTCCGGAAGGTATGAAATGTCAAAAGTTTTATATCGATTTGCATTTTTTTTTCCTTTCATATTTTTAAGTAACATTTATCTTTTCTTGCAGATGAAAAAAAAAATGCTAGTCGCATAAACTTTTGTTCAAATTGACGCAAATTTTATTTCACTAGATTAAAATAAATCAACAAAATTAAACGTGTCGATACATTTTAAATGAAAATGAAATAGAAAGAGTAATATATATTATGATAAAAAAAAAGGAAGAAAAAAAAGATTAATGAACTTCAAATAATTGAACTAACATAATATTAAAAAAAAGAAAAAAAAACAAAAATTTCCTAAAAGTACAATCGTATACTTTCAACATATTAAGTAAGCTGCTGAATGGAACAAAAAAAAATACCTAACAAAGTGAAATGAAAGTATATTGTTAGAGAAAATATATAATATACTGGCAACGATCGATTAATAAACTTAAAATTTATGCGATAAAAATAATAAAATGAGTCGTATTTGAAATCGTTAAATTAAAATAAAGTACTTTCAGTATTGGATTTAATTACTACATAGTTTTTACTGACAAAGCGTTAATACAACAATCGTTCTGTTAAATGCTTAAAAATGCGAATGAAAACAATGGAATTTAAAAAAGTGTCGTGATAAAAATTGTAATCAGCTAATTAAACAGCTACAACAAAGGATAAAGAATGAATGATATAACTGATTAAATTTTAAAGTGTAACATTTATTGTTTTAAAAATATAAAAAAGAAAAGTAAAGAAATAGCTGCGTTAGTGAAAATTGAATTAAAATATCGCAAAATTTTATATGTTCTGTTGTGGAAATAATTTAACTTTATGTCATGCTTTTTTGTTGAAGAAATGATGATTGACTCATTAAGGTTAATGAGTAATATTGATTCGTTAAGGGGATGAGTAATATAATGGTTCTAATTAATTTCAAAGTTTAATGGTTCCAATTAATTTCAAAGTTTAGTTAATGCAGAAAAGCAATTTACTTTTGATTTTCTAGTAAAGTTATTTTAAATAACAATTTTTTTTTCCACAACATTAGTCAGCTAACTTGTTTTAATGAACAATGGAATAATAGTTAATCGAGGAATAATGAAATGTTAGCAAAAAAATCATTTAAATTAGCAATTTTCGTAATCATTATTTCTCATCAAACAATATTATCTGATCTTTAGATTATCAGTGAAAATTACACAGTACTAATTATACATTTCTAAAAAACATTTTCAGTGCTAGTAAAAGACTAAATAATGAAGTGAATTATTATCGGAAATGGAAAATTTTTTAATATATAGATTTTTGCAAAAATTCCCATGGAAATAGCATTATTCGTAAAATATCTGTTATGCAATATTGACTACAACAACAACAACTACTACTTTAAAAGAAATCTAATCAAAATAGCCAAAACCAGAAAAGAAATTTAAAATAGCTAAAAATATAGAAGGAAAGGAATTTGAAATAGCAGGCAAAGGGTTGTTGAGATTCATTTCATCAAATAATATCATATATAAATATGTAATCAATAG